TTTTTTTTATGTCTTCGCAGCCCTCTCTTAATAAAATTGCATATTTTATAACATCTCTGTTGGTTGGTAATTCTGAAACTAGAAATTGTTTTCCTGTATCAAATGCAACACTAATTTGCGTACAAGTACTTATTCTGGTTTTGGGTGCCATTACAGGCCTTGTTTTGAATAAAAAAGTGCTTAATGCATTAGCTTAATGCGATTTTGACGTCATAAAATTATCTTTATTTTTTTTTATAGACGTTAAGTGTTTTAACTACCGCAATAAATAAATAACCGCAAACTAGTTCAATTTAACAATTAACTCAAATATAAACTATAAACGTTTTAAATATAAATTTATTATGAAAATTTTGTAATGTTTCAATTGTTATTTTATTATTAATTTTAGTTCAATATTATTTAGTAATATATATATATATATATATATATATATATATATATATATATATATATATATACCTATTTATATATATATATATATATATATATATATATATATATATATATATATATATATATATATATATATATATATATACATATTTATATATATATATATATATATATATATATATATATATATATATATATATATACATATATATATTAATTATTTCTGAAATTTGTTTTTGAATAATTGTTTTTAATCGTTATTGAATAAAAAATAATAATGATTTTTTTTATTTTTAAAAATTTCTAGAGTAAACAAAAAATATTAACATTGATAGACACAAACCCATGTTAATTATTTAAACAACGATTTTGTTTTGACTAGCAAAGAAAAATTTAAGTTTTTAAATATTTTTAAAATTTTTAAAAGCATTTCAACTTGCGTTTTATAAAAATATAAAAAAGTTTAGTCTGCTTTGAGCATATTTTTGAAACGTAGTTTAGAACGCGTTCGCTAGGAATATAATTCATAAATTTTTTATGTTATTGTAAAAATATTTAACTTTTTAAACAAATCACAAAGAAACAGAGCTATAGAGAAAAATCGTTTTCAACAATTAAATCTTTTTTTTTTTTAATTTTAGGAAATTTTTTTGCAAATGTTTTTTTGTTATAAATTCAGTAAAAAATTCATAAAAAATCTATATTACAAAAAACTTTTATATTCTGTATTAATAAATATGGAATATAGATTTTTTAAAAGTTTTTTACTAAAAACTTTAAAAAATTACTACTTTTTATTAAAAACATTGCAAAAAATTTGTAGTTAAGGATTGACAAACAATTTTTCATGTTGCTAAATATTTGGATAAAAAGTTTAGCGTCAAATTAATTGCTATAAAAAGGAAAGATATATCGCGATGAAAAGTTACAACAATTATTTATAAAGTAAATTCTTTTTTTTAATAAATATTTTTACATATCGTTATTTAAAAGTTAATGTGGTTTTTTTGAAAATTAATTACTTCTTTTATGTTACCGCTAATTTAAAAGTTAAAAAATGATAAAAAGTAGCTTAACCAAAACAGCTCTACGCGTGTGTAAAAAGCGCTTAAGGCGTACGTAAATCGCTCTAGGCGTAACGCTTTAAAACAAGGCCTGCCATTATTCCTCCAAGTTATAAAATTTTTAAAGAGAATTTATTATTGTTTAGTAATGAAAAAAAAATTTTTTTTTAATATTTTAAGAATGAAAACAATTGATCAAAAGTTCTTAAATTTATATTTAACAATATGCAGTTTGCAGTTGTTTACTAAATGCGGCAATGAAAAATTAATTTACTGACCATTATTAAGATTAAAAAATTACGTTTGAGTAAACTTTTTTTTTTAATAAAAAGTTATTTTACACATTTAATACAAAAATTTTTTAAACACTTTATACATATTAAGTTAAATGATTTTTTTATAAACTTAATGTAAATTTGTTTTGTTGTTTAAAAGTCTGTTTTTTTTTACGTACAGTATTGTCCGGTAACGTCGTTGTTCCGTTTAAAAGGAAATAAAAACTGTTAATACTTTCATAAAGTAAATGATTTAAAAAAAAACAAGTAAATGATTTAAAAAATTTTAACAGATTTAGATTCTCCGTAAAATTTCGCAACTTTTAGTTATACACCAAAAAAACTTTTTTTTCAAAAAAAGTCTAAAATTGACACACCCTAATATATATATATATATATTATATATATATATATATATATATATATATAAATATATATATATATATATATACATATATATATATATATATATATATATATATATATATATATATATATATATATATATATATATATATATATATATATATATATATATATATATATATATATATATATATATATATATATATATATATATATATATATATATATATATATATATATATATATAGTCTTGCATGGTAGTCAAACTGTTTTTCCCATAAACTGTAAAGAGAGCGCTAATAAACCAAACTTTTAAAGAGAGCGCTAATAAACCAGACCAAAAATAGTTTAAAAACTAAAATAATTTTTTTTCAATTAAATGATAGACTGCCTGCCCTAACCCTCAGTCGATGTAGCAGAACTCCTTTGGGAGTCAGGCTATTTGTCATTTGATTTAGCAGGACTCTGTTGCAAGTCAAGCTATAAAATAGTCGATGTAGCAACACTTCCTTGTAGCAGCAGGCTATAAGATAGTCGATGTAGCAACACTCCGCGCATGTTTTAAAAATATATTTTAATAAAACAACAAAAACACCATTAATTAAAAAAAACTTTCTATTCATTGTTATTGCGGTTTTTTGAAAAACTATAAAATTTAATGTACTTCTGCATTAATTTAATTGTTTTGATATTTCGACGACAATAAAATGTAGCTTATTTGTCGCGATAGCAAAATTGTAGTCAAAAGAGACTTTTTTACATTAAAGTCTCTTTTGACTACGACATCAAAATATATATATATATATATATATATATATATATATATATACATATATATATATATCTATATCTATATCTATATATATATATATATATATATATATATATATATATATATATATATATATATATATATATATATATATATATATATATATATATATATATATCAGGGGCTATTCTAGGAAAAAAATTTGAGTGGTGGTTCCCCTGCCCTGAAGAAATTTAGCGGAATATTGGCATTTTTTCACAAAAATAGCAATACTTGCCGTGAAATACTTATAAAAAAAAAAGGTCCTCAAATTTTAATTTGAGCGGCGCCCAAATACGATTGATGCTGTTGAAAATGGTCTAGAATAGCCCCAGTATATATATATATATATATATATATATCATAAGGTGTACTTTTTTTATCCTAAAAAAGAAGAAAATGGACTCAATAATAATCTGATTCTGGTCTTTTTAATTGTGAAATTTGATTTCAAAAAAAAAAGAAAAAAAATGCCTAAACATTTGAAACCAATATGCATACTATTCCAAGCAATACCTGTTTTAATATACATTCAATTCAAAAATTATATTTTTATTGCTATTATAAAACTGTTGGAAACAGATGGTCTGATCTATGCTGCATGATTTTAAATTATCAATTGTCTCAAGTGTAAATGATATCAAATTGATTTGCCATTTATGTGCTAGGCAAAATACAAAATGAAAAGTTTTAATTTGATTTTAATATCTAGTTTATAAAACTGGAAAACTTGACAGCATTACTGTTTCATTACCAATTAGAACTCTGTTACATTATGTATAGGCATTACACCTCTAAAAAATGTAACAGAAACATTGGTCTTTGCAAATCAAAAGTTTCTTACAGAAACTCTACACGATCTCACAAAAAACCATAACAATTCAATATTGTATACAAACATGATACAAGAAAAATTTCTGAAATTTGCAGAGTTTCAAAGCCAAACTTCTTGGTTGTTTGTTCATTTAAGGCATGTTCACTTAAAGAAATTGAAATATTAAAGGTTATGAAATAATAAAAGTTTAATTATATGGAAAAATGGAAATATTTAACTTTATGTGTGTTACTTCCCATATGTTTAGATCAATAATCGAAGTGCCTGATAAACTGAAACAAGCATACAGCAGCTCTGTTGCCTTTTTTTGTTAAAAATTTAAAGACATACTAAAACATTTTCTGAATTGAGAAATGAAAATAAGACCTTTTATCTTTTTTCTTTTAATTTATTTTATTTTTCTTTGAAATTAAAAACAAAATATTTTTATTAACGTCGTGTTCACAATTAGATTTTGTATGGTTTATACAAACTTGATATAAAATGATGGAACACAGACATCATGGAATTATCTGTGGTAAATAGATGAGGTTGGGGAAGAGGTTGCAATGCTATTTTATTTATTTAAAGTTTTCATATAATATTTTATTAAAAGAGGGGTGGTGGAGTGGGGGTGGCTTTATTATCCCATGACACACTTAGTACGTTGTAGTTGTAAATTGCAATGTGTTACCATCTACCATTAAAAAAATAAATGCTCTAAAAGGTTACAAGCTAACGTAATTTATGAGTTTATGAGTTTACAACGGAAAAACCACATATGTCCAAAATGAGTGTCTTGTTTTCAAAAGAACACTATGAATAAATAATACTTGTATTTAGCACAATATATATATATATATATATAAATATATATATATATATATATATATATATATATATATATATATATATATATATATATATATATATACATATATATATACACATATATATATATATATATATATATATATATATATATATATATATATATATATATATATATATATATATATATATATATATACATATATTCACCCCCTTGCATGTTCTCCCTAGATAATCAGTCAATGTATGTACTTAAGTCCTCACAGCTCCCTATTTCAGTATGACATCTATTTGCTTTGCTGTGTGTGCAATACTATTTGTAAGAATTGCTGTGTGTGCAATACTATTTGTATATGCAGTCACAGACCAATATTTATCATACATACAATAAAACTAAATTAATTATACTAAAGACATCATCAAATGTAGAAATTTGGTCTTACTACAACTTTCTTTTTTTCTTTCTCTTTCTCTACAGGCTTTTCTGGAGTACTTTTAGGTTCTTCTGAGTTTTTTTCAATTTTGCCAGCTTTTTTTGGAACTGCATCTTCAACTGTTTCCTCTGGCTCAATGGCTGTCTTCATTTTAGATTCGCTAACAGCTTTTCGTATTAGTTTCCCTAATACTCCTTTAAATGAAATTCCATGGGCAGAGAGGGGTTCAGTGGGAAAAACCTTTTTATTATCATCAGAATCAAGTTCCTAAAAATATTTCAAAAGCAAATTTAACCTATTTTTGTTATAACTTATAAGTATGAAAAAAAACTAAACAAAAACAAAAAAATATATAAATGCTTTGCTATTTTACATTTTGAAATTAAGTTTCTAACTAAGCAGCATAAATTAAAAAGAAATTACTATAAAACAAATAAATTAAAAAGAATTAATTAAATAAAAACAAAAAACTTAAACCAATTTAAGAACAGTATCAAGTTTTAATGATCTTTAACAAAGATCTTTAACAAAGTTAAAGATCTTTGTTTTAATGCAGAGTTGCATTAAATTTTTTTGTATATGTCATGCATATGTATGTTTATGTGTCAGGTCATGACAACCATCAACTTATAAATAACATAATGGAGGATAAACAGTAATAAACATAGTAATAAAGTTGTTAAAACAAAAATTCAAAGAGAAAAAATTTGACAATATAATTTTTGTCTAATTACTTTTTCAAAAGTAATTTGACAAAGATTAGGAATTCATCTAAAATTATTTGGTCCTTATTTTTAAAAATTCTTTTAATCACCAAAGAAATAAAAAAATACTGAAAATTTTAACTTACTAACATTTTTAATAACCAGTTCAGTTGTAATTATAAAATATATATCAACTCTAAATCTGGAGAGAATTCCAAATCGATATCGATGTTTTTCCATCGATATCGATGGAAAAAACCTAGATAAAACTTGTTTGAGAATAAAGAAACAGTTACAGGTAAAAAATGTTACTTTAGTAAATGACGATTCATATAAGATTGAGTTTTGGATGATGTGAGAAGTAATGATAACTTGCTTCAACAGCAACAATAGTAGTATGTGTAGAAAAGAGAAGATGCAATAATTATGAGAAGATGCAATGATCTTACAGCAATGATTCAGAGGTTCAAGCTTGGCAGTTGTGTTTTAATACGTTAGTGGTGTAGTAGTAGAACGCTTGCCTCATCTTCAAAGAACCAAAGATTAACAGCACTCAAATTCAAAAATGAAACAACCAAATTTAAATTAATTTTACAAAAAGCAAGTGGGTCTGGTGAATTTTACAAGAAATAAAATTACTTACAAGAAAAAAAAAAATTGTTGAAAAGTTACTTCGAATATCTATCCTTTACATAAATATTTGTAAAGAATAGAATAATAAAAATTGTAAAGAATAGAATAATAAAGATTTTTAAAGAACAGATATCAAAATCTATTGATTTTAATAAGTAGTTTTTTTTTGTTTAATATTTTTAGGTACTTTATTCACGTTTTGAATTACCATTGGATGGACGACCATAGATAATAGATGACACCCAAAGGAAAAGCTATGCAAATGCCTTATTTCTGTTAATCAATAAAGTTACAAATCAAAGTAATGATAAAACACCAAAAGGAACACCTACCATGCGCAACATGGAACTATTAATACTCTGATATTTTACAGCTGTTGATTGGAATCAGCTTTTCAGGGAGCTAACACAAAGTTCAGGAATCCATACTAACAGTTTTTCTCAGAACTATTAAACTGAATTTTAGAGTTGTACAATCATTAGGAAATAATAGAAAGCAAAACAACAACCAAAGAGAAACAATCCACGAGCAGAGTCAAGAAGTTTCAGTTTTAATTACCCTAGGAAAGAAACAATGTAACACAGATTTACAACTCTGCTAGCCTTTGAGATGAAGTAGTGTGAGGTTACTCAACAGAAACTCTTTGCTCAAACTATTGCCTAGAAGGTTATCTAAAAGACAGTTGCATTTAACATCTAAAATGATAACATCCAGAACTAATGCCTAAAATGAGTATTTTTAAAAAGATACCATCTTTAGCCTTTACTCAACATAGAGCCAAGAGTGTATTTTAAGTCTGAGTTAATTTATAGATTACATGTTACCAATGGAGAGATCATCATAATCTTAATCCTGACTTGATCTTGATCTATTTATTAAACATATTATTGGAACAAATAAGCAGTGTCATATCATATTAACGCATCATATTGCTTGAGACAAATGTGGTGTTGCATGATGAAAATATTGTTGAAGTTTAACAGTCAGTCTTTTTGCTTCAGCCAGTTATAAATTTTTTTGTATTTTTTTGTTTATGTTATTGTAAACATTTTTTAACAAAATTTTTTAACTAAACTTAACTAAATTAAACTATAAACATGAAAAGTTTCCAACTTACTGCTTTTTTTCCCCTTTTCCCCCTTCTTCCCACCCCAAAAAAGAATACATACATTTATACAAACATACATACATACATACATACATACATACATACATACATACATACATACATACATACATACATACATACATACTCAATACATACATACATACACCAGAGGCTATTCTAGAAAATTAATTTGGGCAGCGGTACACCCACCCCTGTCCTGGCAAAATTTAGCAGAAATATTGCAGAATCTAGGCATTTTTTTGCGAAAAAAAAATATTTGCAGTAAACAAAAAAAAAAAAAAAAAAAAAAAAACATTCTAGAATAGCCCCTGTACACACATAGAGTAAAACAGGGTAAAATGAAATAGCGGGCAAAATGAAAGGAGAATTGTGGGGTTAAATGAAACATGCTAATAATAAGTGAAGCAATTCTTAAATGCAGCTTTTTTTTTTAAATTAATTCTCAAGTGACCAGTAAATCTCCAGCTATAAATTTTTGTATAAATTTCAATGAACAAACTTTTCTATCTGAATTTAAATGAATGACTTTTACTGACTGCTTTTATTAAATGATTCTAATGAATGAATGAAATACACTAGTTACTCTCTTGTTAAATGCAGGTTTTATTAACTATTTAAGTCTTATGTGACCAAGCAATCTCTATAATTTTTGTGCATAAATTTTAAACCGATTATTATTAAATCTATTTTAATATAAAACATGCCTCGAAACAACTTGCATGCAAAAAAAAAAAAAAGAAAAACTATACACCAAAGAGCAAGTTGCGCTTGCGGTGGCCAAAATACAAAGTGGCGAATTTTCACTTAACAAATCTGCTAAATCATTCAGCATACCAGTAGCAACTCTTCACAGGCGTATCCACTGTATAGGTGAAACAATTGGCAGTAGTTCAAGCACAAGATTGTCACAACAACTAGAATCAGTTCTGGTAGATACGCTCATCAAATTATCCAATTGGGGCTTTGGTAGAATTTACAATAACGTCATCGCACTAGTTACTGACTATTTGCAACACCATGGTCAATCTCATTTGTTTCCTAATGATACACGAGGAAGTGATTGGTATAGGCTTTTCATAAAACAGTGGAGTCATAGGTTGAGCATCAGACCCATAGAAATATTTTATCACTCAGAGCCGCTTCTTCAACACACTGCAAAGAGAATTCAACATAGCAGGTATGTTGAATTCAACATAGCACGAACTTAACATAGCAGAATTCAACATAGCACGAAAGCACTCCATGTCATTTGTAAAATTTTGATGAAATTGGCTTGAAATTGGTGATCAAGGTAAGCAAGACATAATTTGCTGGCGTGGTGCAATGCGGCCATTGAAATTGGTTGGCAACAATGAAAAAATCCATTATACTGTTGGAAATTGAATTAATGCTGCTAGCAATCGTCTTGCTCCATACATTATTTTTAAATTAAAAAAACGTCTGTACAGAGATTGCCGTGTAAGTGGTCCAGATGATGCCATATACGCCATATCTCCATCTGGATGGATGGAAGATAAGCAATTTGTGCAGTGGCTCACTAAAGTATATGTTCCCGCCATTTAGAAAATTCCAGGTAATAAGTTCAATCTAATTATATTTATTTAATTTTATATTTACAAAGGATTACATCTATCTAATTATAGTTATCTAATTTTAGGTATTCATATTTTAATCGTAGATGGACATGTGACACATGTAACTTATCTAATCGTACTTATTTGCATCGAAAACAATATCTTGTTAATTTGTTTACCAGCTCACTCGTCTGCAGCCACTAGTTGTTGGTATTTATTGCCATGTCAAAAGAGTTTGGCGCAAGTTACTTCAACAGTTTTATGCAGAGACAAAGTTCAGCAACTTATCAAAAGAATGTTTTAGTCACCTGAAAAAAATCTCTTCAGCTCTGGTGAAGTTTTTACGCATTTTAGCATCAGCTCCAAAGTCACCTTAAAAGTCACCCTATCTGCAAACAACCTTCAATATTGTAGTAACTCCAGCTTTTCGAAAAGAAATTCAAAAAGAGGTTAAAAAACAACTCCAATCAACCCAATCGCTTGCAGCAGCTTTGCAACAAATGTTTCGTAATCAACACATTGACACACAAAAAAGTAAAAATGTAGATGTGCTAAGATTCGAAGTGGAGTTTCTCAACAAACCTGAAATACTTGAAAGGTTGAAAGATACCAAAGCGATACGTAAAAGGCGCTGAGTTTTATTGATGCAAAAAGTGTCGCACAAGTGAAAACTCGACTCAACCTCTAGTACCTCTAAATAGCTCAAGATCCTCACAAGAATAAAAAAGTTTTTTTTATTTGATTGATTTTTTAATTGTTATTATTGATTGTTTTTTTAATTGTTATTGTTGATTGCTTTTCGTTTTTTTTAATAAAGTATTGATTTAATTACACATACATTTGCATATTCCATACTCCCCCGTATTTAGGTGTAGAATGGAATAAAAAAAATTTTAATCAAATAAAGTTTTATAAAAAACTTTGATTTTTTATTTTCTTAATAATATTTATTTAAATACAGCTCAATATTCTCTACAACTTTAAAAAAAAAATTTAAAAAAATCTTTTTTCAGTAAAAAATAAATAATTAAAATCTTTAACTATTCCATTTGACTCCATTTTACTCTATATATGTATATATATACATATATGTGTATATATATATATATGTATATATATATATATATATATATATATATATATATATATATATATATATATATATATATATATATATATCAAATAAATTACAAAACAGAATAAATACACACTAAAAATTATTTCTGAAAACATTAACAAATAATAATAAATCATAATATATTTGTAATATTACCTTTCATACAAATCAAAGCTAATTAAATTTTATTTTGAAAACGTATATTTATTAACATTTTTCTTTTTTAATATAATGGAATAATTTCAGTAACACTTTATTTTTAAGAATATCATATAAGCAATCAAAGAATTTAATAAACAAAAACAAGAAAAATTGGACAAAAAATTTAGAAAAAAATAGATATTACAATGTTACTAGAAAATGTGTAGTCAGTATGAACAATTTAAACAATTTTAAAAAAATGTCATCTAAAGCTACAGTGATTAGAAGATTCAAATCAATTGTGTATTTAGAAAAGTCAAAGTTGAATCAAATCAAAATAATTTGCTTCGATCTGAGAGAACTGTGGAAGAAAATTTCATTTCCTACTTTTTCAATGTTCATTGTAAAGTAAAAAATCTAATAACAGATTATGATAAATATTTAAGTAAAGCAAAAAATTTAACACTTCTTTTACTTAATTGTTTGATATTACTGATTTGAAAGTGTGTGGCTAACAAGTGAAGACACGAATTTTTACAATATGCAGATAGAAACACAAGGAAGAGCAGACTATTGTTGTAATAAAGTAGCTGACCCAACAAAAACTCATCCATCAGAAACATCCAAAACTAAAACTCATCTACAGAAGATACTGATATTAATACTGATTCTGATAATATGGTTATTGAGACTAGTGGAGATAAATGTTTTGACACACAAATACCCAATACTAACTCCAGAAAGAGGATGTATTGCACAACTTCATCAGTTTTCAACAGTTTTCATGAAATTTTCAACAGCAGCAAAGTTATCATCAAGAAAAGTTGCAGAAGTGTGCAATTTTTTAGTTGTTCAACTTTGATTGTTCAATGATGATTAAATAAAAAAAAATTTTAGAATTTTATTTATTTCAAATTTATTACCAAAAAACAGCCATTATTTTCCAAATAATATAACACTACTTCAAATTAAAGTATTTTACCTTTCATTATTTGACAAATTCAAGACGGAATAAAGAGTAGGAAACACATGGAAAATGCAATTGATATATAAGATATTGGATTAGATACAGACAAACCTAATCATTCATCAATATGTAAAGCAACTATGAGAGAAGCAAAAAAACTTAAAAATGTCATATAAAAAAAATTAAAAAAATGAAAACTGGGGCCTACATTTTGATGGGAAATATTTTAGTTTTTCAGAACCAAGTAGTGGTTCTGAAAAATAGTACAAAAGAAGTTAAATTAGCTGTTCTTGTCTTATAAGATAATAAAGCAAAACGATTTTTAATGGATTAGTTAAAATTATTGATTCTCTTGATTTATGGAATTGTATAAAGATGATTATAACATATACAACTGCTGTTAAAACTGGTAAGAAAAATGGTACAGTAACTAGACTACAAAAAAATTTAGTGACCTAAATTGGATTAAAGAACCATCAATTATTGCAAACAACCAGCTCAGTAATATATGTGCTGAAAGAGCAATTAAATTTGCTCAAGACTTGCCTCAATGTATAAACTCTGAGAAATTAAATTTAAAATTTATTTTGTCTAATACTAGGATGTAAAAAAAAGAAAATTAACTACAAACTGCAAATACAATACCGTTATAATGATTAGAAATATTTTTGTTTTTTATTTTTTGATCTTTTTAAAAAATTAATGTAAATGAATTTGATTTTATGTTGTTATACATAATTGTTCATTAGAAAATAATATAAGACATGTATTGTAAAAAAGTCAACACCTTAATATACATACATACATATAAAATTACATATAAAATATACAATTTTACTTGTTTTATAAAACATACCTGTTCTTCTTTAAAGAGAGACTTATCAAATTCATCTTCTTCTTTCTTTTCAGCTTTATCTTCACTATCTGAAAAATGCATTTTTTCTGCATTATCTTTTTTAGAGTTTAACTTACTTTCAGACAGAGCTGGCTTATTGCGGTTATTGCGAATATCTTCGTTGTATCTGTTTAAAAAATAAAATCTTTTGAATAGTGAATTATATAGTGTACTATTTAAACTAAAGACTAACTTGATGGTTCAGACCATAAAAGCTGCAATAGATTTACATAAGGTTCACATTATGAGTAAAGATGTATGAAGATGGTAACACAATGGAGAACAAAAAACATAATGAAGATTATAAAACATAACGGAGAATGAAAAGCAGAGGAGAATAAAAAAAAGAATAAAAAATAAGTTTAAAGGATCAAAAATAAATTGAAGCATAATATATAATTATAAACATAATATATATTATAAAATTACATTGAAGTATTTATAATTTATTGAAAATATCAATTATTTTAAATGTGCACAAAAAGTTGCAAAAGAGTGTTTATAACAAAGTTGAAATTTGAATAAACATTGAATAAGAAATAAAATATAAAGTTGAATAAAAAATAAAATAGAAAGCTAAAAGTCAAAATTTCATCAGATATTGTTCAGTTTAAAATTTGTGTTAACAAAAAAAGAATATCACAAAAATAAAATTTAATAACAAACCTGTACATCTCCATTGCCCAAGATCCACCCAAACCATCTTCTGTAAAGATAAGTGCATTTTAGTAAGTGTGTATCTATATATGTATGTATGCAACCCTTGAAATTAGGGTCAGCATTTGACAATGCCGACCTAACTGCCGACTTGAAAGTGCTTGAGGTCAGCAAAAAATTACTGACCTCGTTTCTATGTTTAATGATCAGACCTTTGTATCAAATGATTTTTGCAGCCCTGATGCCAACCTCAAAAAGATTGAGGTCTGCAAATTATTGCCAACCTCATTTTCCTAATTCCGAGGGTTGGTATGTATGTATGTATGTATGTATGTAATGTATGTATGTATGTATGTATGTATGTATGTATGTATGTATGTATGTATGTATGTATGTATGCAACCCTCGGAATTAGGAAAAATGAGGTCAGCAATAATTTGCCTTCAATTGCCTTCGGCATCAGGGCGGTAAAAATTATTTGATACAAAGGTCTTGCCTTATAACATAGAAATGAGGTCCGCAAAAAATTGCCGACCTCAAACACATTCAGGAAAGCAGTTAGGTCAGCATTGCCAACCCTAATTCTGAGGGTTGTGTATGTATGTATGTATGTATGTATGTATGTATGTATGTATGTATGTATGTGTGTATGTATGCATATATATACATATCTCTCTCTCTCTCTCTCTCTCTCTCTCTCTCTCTATATATATATATATATATATATATATATATATATATATATATATATATATATATATATATATATATATATATATATGTATGTATGTATGTATGTATGTATGTATGTATGTATGTATGTATGTATGTATGTATGTATGTATGTATGTATTTATGCATGTATGTATGTATTTTTGTATGTATGTATGCATGTATGTATGTATGTATGCATATATATATATATATATATATATATATATATATATATATATATATATATATATATATATATATATATATATATATATATATATATATATATAAGTTGATGGAGAGTTTCGTTCACAATATCCTAATGAAGTATTGCATCAAAAATAACTTAATTAACAAAGATCAGGACGGTTTTATACCAAAGCGAAGTTGTGCCACTAATTCATTAGAAACAAGAGACATATTAACAAGCTCAATTTACTTAGGTTATGCCATAGACGCCATCTATACTGATTTTGCAAAGACATTTGATAAAGTATCCTATAAACGACTTAAAGCAGATGAGTTATATAGAACTGTACTCATGTGGATAGCTAACTGGTTAGCGAACCAACAACAAAGGGTAACAATCTGTAATTTTAAATCAGATTGGAAGAAAGTCACAAGTGGTGTTTCACAAGGTTCCGTACTTGGATTATTTATACTCTATTATTTATACTTTATATAAACAATCTACCGGATAATAAAGCACATCAAATTAAGATATATGCTGATGACTGCAAGATGTTAGATGTAATAAAGACAGACCCTGCAAGGTTATAAAATGACATAGAAAAAGTAATATGTTGATCTAAAAAATAGCTCATGGAGTTAAGCATAAAAAAATGCAAAGTGGTGCATGTTGAATGCCTAATCAACAAATCAACTCAAAACTACACAATGCTTGATCAATTAGAAAATAGAAAAATACTTGAAAGCACCAAAAATAAAGGCGATAAGGGAATATTTGTTTCTCATAATTTGAAAGTGAAATATTAAGTAGAAGCGGCAGCAGCAAGAACGAATTGTTCATTAGGCTCTCTCAAAAAAGCTTTTAGAAGCAGAGACTTTGTTGAATACACTAGTGTGTATTGAGCAAAGAGCATCAAAAACAGTCACAGAAATCAAGCATAGGTCATATGAGGAGAGGCTCCGTATCCTTGAACTTACAACTCTTAAAGAAAGAAGAAATTGAGGTGATTTGATTCAGCAATTTAAAATCGTTCACAGTATCAAAAAAATAGAATTAACCATACCACAGGTTTTTGTGCCATCAATATCAAATTACTTCCTACAAGGGCACAATCAACAATTAACTAAGCAAGTGTTCAAAAATTGTGAAGAGAGGAAGCATTTTTTCACTAACCGCGTGTTAAATGCATGGAACCCACTTCTGTCAAATGCAGCCTATGCGGCCTTAGTAAATGCCTTCTAAGGTCACATTAATGGAAAAAGAATAAATAATGGACACAGTGCATGCCTTTAAGCTGTCATAGTAGCGCCTGGTGTTGCACTACTTCATTAGAAATTGATAAACTTTTTATTGTATTAAATATTTAATATAAATTTCTAATTTCTAAATAAACAAATTCAATTTCAAATTTAAATTCATATATATATATATATATATATATATATATATAATATATATATATATATATATATATATATATATATATATATATATATATATATGTATATATGTATGTATGTATGTATATATATATATATATATATATATATACATATATATATATATATATATATATATATATATATATATATATATATATATATATATATATATATATATATATATATATATATATATATATATATATATAAACCCTCAGAATTAGGGTCAGCAGCAGTTAGATTGGACCCGACCCTTAGAATTAGGGTCAGGTCCAACCTAATTCTGAGGGTCTATATATATATATATAATATATATATATATATATATATATATATATATATATATAAATAAATATATATATATTTATATATATATACATATACATATATATATATATATATATATATATATATATATATATATACATATATACATATATATATATATATATATATATATATATATATATATATATATATACATATATACATATATACATATGTATATATATATATATATATATATATATATATATATATATATATATATATATATATATATATATATATATATATATATATATATATATATATATATATATCTAAAGAAATCATCAAACATTTGATGAATAAATCTAAAGAAGATCATCAAACATTTGATGAATAAATTTCTTTAGATTAACTACTTAGATTAACTCATTTGATCACATAACCCACTTCCTGATTGTCACATAACCTTTCCTGATTATCACATAATTCATTCTGATTGTCACATAACCTCCTTCCCAATCGTCATATAACCCACTTTCTGATTGTCACATAAACCACTTCCTGATTGTAACATTATCATTCCTGATTGCCACATAACCCACTTTTTGGTTGTAACATAACCCACTTCCTCATTGTAACATAACCCACTTCCTGATTGTTTTCTATAAAATCTATTAGCTTTCATACTTTACGGAACTTCTTTTTCATAAGATTTGTTTTGTAAACATTTCATTTCTTTCAATATTTCAATATTTTCATTTCTTTCAATATTTTTTTTGAAACAAAAGTTTGAACCTTTCTAGTAGCTGACTTGTGAATTAATGATGCTCATTTTAGCCAATGTTCTAACAATAAAATAATTGTAGCTAAATTAATTAATTTGACCCTTGTTAAAATTAAAACAGTTTTTTGCTTTTTTTGTTTAAGTTCTTTGCTGTTAATAATTTGTCTATTCAAAGAGTTTTCATTTGTCTGCACTTTTCTAACAACTTTTTCATTTTTCTCATAGAGCCTCTACAATTTTGTACTAATACTAACTATTGATACTTTTAACATTGATTGATTATTGACATCAATTTGTTTCATTTTTGTTGAACTGCTGACCATCTGCTTTTATTAGAACCACATAGGTATACAAATAAATTGTTTGCAACATCGCCTGTCAGTTAATCTTGAAACTGAGACAAACTTAATATGATTTTTTTCCTTTCTGATTTATCAACCTGCATTTATATTACTGACTCATTGTGTCAACTATTGCCTCATTCTTTCAATTCAAAGAACTAAATGCAATGAACTGGTGGTGGAAAATATTTCTATGTGTCTTTTGCATCATCTAATATTTTATGTTACTAATAAATATTAGTAAAACTTATAATTTCATTACAATTTATCTCTTCTTTTTTTTTCTTATTGCTGAATAAAAAGTCAGGTCTTTACAATGTATCACTTCTTTTCTTTTTTTTATTGCTAAATAAAAAGTGAGGTCTTTACCATGAATTTTAAAAAACATCATTAAAGAGTTTAATATATAATTAAATAAAAACTTCTATTATGAATGTAACTCTTTATTTATTGAATAAATTTTTATACAATATTTCAAGGGAGTATAGATGAACTTGTTACCAAGTCTTAAATTAAATCAAACTAAATTAGGTCTTTACCATATATCTATCCTTTTCTTTTTTTTATTGCTGAATAAAAAATGAACTCTTTGCATAATAAGCACCATTGTTTAATTTTTTTTTAAACCTTGTAATAAAATTTCTTTTTTAATACTTTCATCACTCCACTAAACTATAGTATGATTTTTATAGTTTATTATTCTCCATTGGCTTCTCAGTTGAATCAGATACTTCTAATTTTTCAGTATATTTGTTATACTCAGAAATGACCTACGAATTAGTATTTCTTGCTTAACTAGATCTGGAATTGAATTAGATCTGTACCTAAAATTACCCTAAGTGCTTTTTTCTTTACTCTGCTGATACAAGTTGTATAGATAATTCAAATTGAAAGACAACATTTGTGACTCAACTTTTTAATTACTGAATTATAAAGGTCTGTGCATTCCTTTTTTTAATTTAAGATTTTTTGATTATTACTAATTTTCATTGCACATTTTTGTAAAAAATTTTAAAAATTTTTATAATATTGGTTACAAAATTTCAAGGCAAATTCAAGAATTTAAAAAATATATTTTTATAAAATAAAGAAAACCTACAAAAAACAAAATAATAATAATAAAAACAAACTTTACAAGAAATAAAAAAAAAATGTTTTGCTTAATAAAAAAATTTATTGAGTAATCTGCTTCTTGCTGTGTAATAGAACATTGAACAGTTTGTTGTGAAATAGAATAAAAAAGCAAGTTTAGAAAGTAGAACAAAAACCTGGTTACACTAAAAAAAAACTTTTTGACAGTAATACTAGGGAACTTAAATATAAGTAAATACATGCATTAAAAAAAGATTCTTTTTTTTAGAACTTCTCATTTTAAACAAAAATATCTATATTATGTGACTTACCTAAACACTGATTTGATGTCCCATACATATCATATGTTGTTTCCCCATTAATACCTGCAAAACATTGACCACCATTTTGTAGACCAAAAACTTGAAAACCTTTGTCTAATGCTGCCTCGGCACATTTTTGAAGAGGATCAGATCTTGATTTATAATCAGAGTCCATCAATAATGGATGGTTACCCTCTAATGTAGGCACTGCACGAATCCATTTATCCAAAAAGCAACCAATATCCGAAAAAACTTTAGATTGCATAACAAAAAAAAATTATTAATTAATGTAAATATATATATACATAACATATATATATATATATACATATGTAGGTGTATATATGTGAGTACTTTGGTATTATCATGTATACTTTTGTATACTAAAAATAGTGCTCAATAGATAAACTAAAGTACCTGGAATTAGCTAAATCCTAATACTTATAATATTGCTACTCACAGTTTCATGTGTTATCAAAACCATCAGGCATGTAGTAAAAAGTTAATTTTGCTTCGACTTAATTAGTAGAAGTTTAAAAATTTATATATATATATATATATATATATATATATATATATATATATATATATATATATATATATATATATATATATACATATACATATATTTTTATATATATTTATATATATTTATTTATTTATTTGGGGTGGCTCTTAAAACAACTTTTTTAAGAAAAAACCTGCTCTGACCCCTATAATTTGTTCTATATAGTACTAAAACACTAGGTTTAAAATTTTTTTTAACAAAAAATATTTTTAGGGGTAGCTTAAGACCCTTACAAATTTAACGGGTCCCTAATATTTTGAAAAAAAAGTTCTTCTTAAGTGTGTCAACCTGGTACTCAAAAGAAGCAAAATTGTATAAAAACTTTAAAAATAATAATCAATTTACGCAAAAAAACATGTCTAAAAAAAAAATGTCTCAAAAAACTTGAAAATCTTGAGTTTTTTTATTTTCAGCTAAAAAACAATAGCATTTGTGTATTTATATCTAAATAAATTATTTTTATGAGAAATGATTTTCATTTTTAAATTTTTTTATATAATTTTGCTTATTTTGAGTACCAGGTTGACATACTTAAGAAAAACTTTTTTTAATATATTAGGGACCTGTCAAATTTTTAAGGGTCCTGACCTACCCCTAAATATATTTTTTGTTCAAAAAAATTTTAAACCTAGTGTTTTAGTATTATATTGAACAAATTAAAGGGGTCAGAGCAGGTTTTTCTCAA